TTTATATATATATTTTTTTAATGTGTATGAGTGTATTGCCTGCATGTGTGTAAGTATACCTGTGTTGTACAATGCCAGTGGAGGTCTGAAGAAGGCTTTGGATTCCCCTGGAACTGAAGTTACAGATGGTTGTTAGCCACCATGTGGGTGCTGGGAATCGAATCCAGATCCCTTGCAAGAGCAGTCACTGCTCTTAACTGCTGAGCCATCTCTCCAGCCCCTTGCCAATTTTTCTATAAGGCAAAATGTTAGCTCCCAACTTTATAATTACTCTGTTGACATTCATTTAATTGGGCATATCTCTGAGAGACTAAGGAGTGCTATACTTCCTGAGGCTGCTATCAAGTATAACACTGACACGAAGAGAGTGTCAAAACCCATAATAACAAAATATTCATAAAATAATACAAACAAAAAAATTCATGTATTCATGATTTAAACATGTGAATATTAACAAAGCATTCATGAAATAATGGGAACAAAAATTCATAAACAAATGCATAATTAAGAAATGTGAATCTAGAGTATGTATAAAAAATAAATATGAATATTAACTAATGAATTGTTTTCTCTTATAACTAACTCTAAATGAATTTCCAAATAGAAACTCAGAAAAATTCATATCTCCATGAAAATAAATTTTCTAATTTAAATGGTGACAATATAGGAGACAAAAGAAATCACTAAATTCAAATATTTTACTTTATAAATTTTTATCATTACTATCTTTTCACTCTTATTCACCCATTCATTTGAAAACACAAGTATTTAAAACTTGTTAGAAACTACATTCAGCACCAAGAATAAAATATAAATACAATACACATGCACCAAATCATTTGAGCCACACAGTAAATGTTAGCTAAGTGTCATCTCTGTTCAGTAACGACACTAAGACTGAACAAAGATTCCACACTTATATACCTCCTAATTTAATACATGTATAGTCTAGATTTTTTACGGGGATTTGGGGAAGAACTGATATTTTTATACTATTAAGTCTCCCAATCTACAGATAGGAAATATTCATCAATTCTTTCAGATCTTTAATTGACTTCAAAAATGTTCATAATTTTCAGTAAATATATCATAATAATCTTATTTTAAATTTGTTCTCAGGAAGTTGGTATTTTGATCCTATCATAAAGTTCTCAACATCATCAATCACCAGGAAAATATGTATTAAGATCAAAATGAAATTGTTAGGAATAAGAGTAGAAAGAGATCAGCCAGGGGCACAGAAATGCTGCAATAAATCCACCTGTGTAGTAAAATGAGAGAAAAGTCACTGTCAAATGAGTAAGTTGTACAGAGCAGAAATCAACACATATCAGAGCACAAAGCTTGAAACACCATTCATCAGTCTCCTAAAGTTGAACTCAGATAGATTCTGTAACTCAGCTATTAGAACTTCAGAGTAGGTAGGCATCCAAGATAATTACAGAAATATCTACAACAAAAGATAGCCAAGCACAGAATTATTCATTACAGGAGTATTAATAAAAAGAAAATGGTAATAACCAAAGTGTCCATTCACAAAAATGATGTACTTTGTCTGGTTGATTTGGTTGAGACAGGGTCTCACTATGTAACCCTAGCTGGATTAGAATTTACTATGTAGACCCGCCTCTGCCTCCTGAGTGCTGGGATTAAAGGCACGCACCAACACACCTGGCAAAAATTATGTATTTTACAATGAAAATGAGCAAATTGATCTTACACAAAAAGTATGAATCATTTCACAAATACAATGTGGAAAGGAAAAAGTTCCATGAAAGAGTATATGCTAGAATTTTATCAAGTAACCCCATAAAGGCAAAAATTACAGTATTTTGAAGGGAGGTAACGAATGACTGGAAAGGTATGAGATACGTCTTATACATTCTTGGAGAGTACAGACTTCACTGTATACACTGTGATCTCAGGTTTCCATATACATGGACTGCTTTCTATTTCAGCATTTTAGCTAATAAGTGAATCCAGCAAGACAAAAGATCAATGTATCAAAAATCAATTGTCTGGGTATGGTGGTAAATGCATGTAATCCAAGGACTTGGAAGGCTGAGGCATGAGGCAGGGAAATCAGGAGTTTGAGATTAGTCTGGGTTACACAGGAAAAGTCCAACTGAAAAATGTACATACAATATGCACATATAAGAAGCACATCTATACACTAAAAAAGAACTATCTAAAAATGCATTTAAGAACACAATTTCAATTACCAACAAAGAATAAAATACATAGAAATAAATTTTACATAATCAATTATAAGACGTATACTGAAAAATATAAAAACATCAAAACAACTTTCAAGCCCAAATAAAAAGAGAGGGATTCTATGTTCATAGAATGGAAGGCTTCAGACTGATTCGGAATAGCAGTACCCCCTTTGATGTATGTATCTGATGCAACTCCTACCAAAATCCCAAATGAAGGTGGGCACAGTAGCATATGCCTATAACCTCAGTAGTGAGAAGGCCAAAGCAGGAGGACAGAAAGGTTGATGCCAATCTAAGCTACATATTGAAGTCAAAGACATCTTGGGCTACATAGCATAGACCCTTTTTTCATCTTAAAAAAAAAAAAAAAAGCAACGTTTATCAAGTTGATTCTAAACCTTGCATAGAAATGCAGAGGCCCTATAAGCAAAACACATCGGAAAAGGAAAGCCAGAGTGGAGAGACCAGCATTACCTAATTCCAAAAGCTCTGACACACCATAAGTGAAAGAAGAATGTTCAACATCGTCCTTTCAAAAACAAATTGACTAAGTATCTCAAGCATTTAGCTTAGGCATTTAGTGGCAGAGAGAGAGAGAGAGAGAGAGAGAGAGAGAGAGAGAGAGAGAGAGAGAGAGAGAGGAAGAATCATATATAAGCCTGGAGTGGTGGTGTACCCTTTTAATCCCTACACTTAGGAGGCAGAGGCAGGTGGACCTCTGTGAGATTGAGGCCAACCTGATCTACATAGAGAGTTCCAGGCCAGCTGAGGTTATAGGCAGACCGTGTTTCAAAAATACATATATAAAAAAATTTAATTAAAAACTATGAAAATGGATCATGAATTTAATTCATGTGACACTAAAATTTTGTTACAAAATACAAAAATTTTGTGCCAAATATTTCTTGGACAAAATAACTGCTCAACCAAAAAAAGCACAGATTTTTTTAAGTTGGTTTAAAAAAGAAAAGGAAAAGCCCTGCTCAAGAGACTCATGGCTGTTAAAGGTGCTTAGATGCTCACACTATATGCAAGTTAAATGCTCAGCCCCAAACAGGACATTTATACCGGCCCCTATGAAGCTCAGGGAACACTGCAGATGAGGAGCAGATAGATTACATGAACCATTAGACAGGAAGAAGTCTGCAAAATGCCATCTTCGGGGCATGACACACCACTGCAGTCAGGAACTCACAGCAGCTTGGCTGTCTGTCCTGGGCTTGCACACAATTGAGCCTGTCAACAGCCAATCATGATCAGGGAGGGGTTTGTGGGGTTCTAACCCTCACTGATGAACTATTGACAACTGATAGATCCTGGGGGGAAGGTCAGTCATTGCCTTTGGAAGTGTTTCCAACAGTGTGCCCACCAGGCACCAATGGATAGTTCCAAATCCATGACTACATAAATGGTTCTGCTTAAATCAGAGGGTCACAAAGCAAAACAAAAAAGGCATGAACGTGGGAAAGGGGCCTGGAGAGAAGATGGGGAAGCGGGGGCCTAACAGGGGTGGGAGGGAGATAAGAGAGGGTAGGAACAGAATGCACTATAGATATATGGAATTGTCAAAGAACAAATTTAATAATAAAAACAACTGGAGCCGGGCATGGTGCACACGCCTTTAGTCCCAGCACTCAGGAGGCAGAGGCAGGTGGATCTCTGTGAGTTCAAGGCCAGCCTGGTCTACATAGCGAGTTCCAGGACAGCTCGGGCTACAGGGAGACCCTGTCTCAAAAACACCAACCGCCCCCCCCAAAAAAACCAGCCTGCTCATCAAAAACTAGAGTAAGCAAACGCAAAGGACAAGGTGTGCACTGAAGAACTGCCACAAAGCACACATCTAAAGACAAAAGTGGGCCAGCGGCCATCCCCACATCAATAAGAAGGAAGCAGCTCTGTGTTTAGATGGACAGAAAAGACATACAGATGGAAAAGAATGATTTGAAACTTCACTCCCTGTTATTACTCAACAGAGAAATGCAATTAAATCTGCAATGAGACACTACTTCAAACCTAATAAGTAGCTAATCTTAAAAAAAAAAAAAAAAAAAAAAGGTCAGAACTCATCTGAGTTGATGAGAAAGTGCAGTAACTGAACCACTGCTCAAGACAGATTAAAAAGTAATCATGTGAGTACTTGGAAAATTCTTGGCAGTTTTTTTCTTTGCATTAACCATACGATCCTGCCATGCCACCTTTACGTTCTCACCCAAGAGAAACGAAAGGACATGTCCATACAGAAACTAGTACCCCATAACCACAGGCACCGTACTTATAGAAGTAAAAACTCAAGAAAATTCAAATGAAGAAAGTAATATAAATCCTTAACATTCAGCAAATAAAATAGTATAATCTACTGATTCATGACACAACATGAATGAACTACAAAATAATTATGCCAAGTAAAAGTATCCAAATAACAAAATACTGCATGATTCAGTTACATAAGTGTCTAGAAAATAAAACCAATATACAAAGGGACAGAAAATAGATCTCTAGTAACACAGTGAGTGGCTGAAGGCTTCATGTAGTGATGTAGGAGGAAAAGGAATATACAGAAATGAAAGGAAATTTTGTATGGGTTACCTTTTATATTCATTATCTTGAATCTAGAGATGGTTTCCTGAGTACATGCATATATCAAAACTTATGGAATTATATACCTTAATATCTTCTGTCTATTACTAACCAATTATATCTTACTGGAGTTGTCATAAAATTAAAACAAGCAATACAACAAACATGATATACAAGCATCCATCGATTGTGTCTATCACTTACTTCCGACCTGTGTGCCTGGTCAGTCTAACCATCAGGCTGTGTGCCTCTTCTGAGCTGGACTGAGTGTTCCTAACAAAAGAAATCGGTTTCTCCAGTCCATGTTTTTCCAAAAGTTCTGACACACTATAAGTGAAAGAAGAAATGTTTAACATCTTCCTTCCAAAAATAAGAAACTAAGAATCTTAAGCATTTAACTTATATTTAGGTGTTTTGTGCCCCCCCCCCAAGTATCACATGTAAACTGGGAGTAGCACATGCCTTTAATCCCAGTACTTGGGAGGCAGAGGCAAGTGGATCTCTGTGAGAATGAGGCCAGTCTGGTCTATGAAGTGAGTTCCAGGCCAACTGGGGCTACAGGGAGACCCTGTCTCAAAGAGCAAACCAAAGTATCACATATGAGTACAGTCCAATATTACATGTTACGTTAATTCTCATCAAAAAGATTATAATTATATCAAATTCAATTTTCCCCACTGACTTTTATTAGAATAATATACCTAGACTAAATAGCATGTTCTTATAAAAATGAAATATTTTACTGAAAATCTTTCTTGTGAGCTCTCTCTACACTAAAACCATGTACCAGTAAAATAAGGCAAATGTATAACTTCTATGCGCATCTTTAACTCTTGGGACTATTCATGTGTTATGGTATATAGAAACATTAAGGTCCCTTACATACAACTTAAAATAATTTTACACTAAAATTTCTGATTTGAGTAAATAAAATTTCTAATTACTGATCTTAAATAATTACGCTTTACCATACACATGGCTCTATTAAAATGCTGTTGTCTATAATTACATATTAAAAGAATATTTGTAATTATTTCGCTTCTTTTTTTTCAACAGGGTTTCGAATATGACAGGCTGGCCATTAACTTGTCATGTAGTGAAGGATGACCCTGAACTTCTAATCCTCCTGCCTCCACCTACCAAGTGCTAACATTATAGGCACGAGCCACCATGTGGGTTTTATGCAGAGCTGGAAATCCAACCCAGGCCATCATGCATGCTAGGCAAGCACTATAGCAACTGATCTACATTCCCAGCTCCTAATTTTTATCCAATTTTTATTTCTAGTACAATATTTAGTAATTAAAATATTTACAAAAAAAAAATGAAAGCTAGTAAATAATTTCAGACTTCCTAAATGGAAAGTTAAGAATGTTTCGGACTCAAGGAGAGATACATTTCATTGTAACAGTAAGAATATCACAATAAAAATACATGAAATTTCCAACACACTTTGACATTATTCAAACAGTGAATAAAATATATTATTATGCTCCAAAATCTTAAGGGTATAATTGACACTGCTTTCTGACAGATACTATGATTGCTGTATAAATTAACATTTCTTATGTAGCTAGGGTGAGGAACTTATTTAATATTACTTGCAACATCTTATGAATTAAATATTATGGATAAGGAAACCCTAGGTTAGAAGATCACACAGCTAACAAGTAGCAACGTCTGGATTTAAACACAGGCTTAGCTGGTCACAGTAGCTCATACCTGTTATCCCAATATTGGGGGGCTAAGGAAGGTTGATTATTATGAGTCTGAAGCTAACCTGGGCTACAAAGCAAAAGGCTGTCTAAATAGCAAACAAAACCACAACTAAGTATAGTGATACACACCTGTGATACCAGCATAAAAGAGGCAAAAGCAGGAGGATGACCCATAAGTTCAAGGGCAGCTTGATCTACATAGTGAGTTCTAGGCTAGCCAGGGCTACATAATGAGGCTCTGTGTCAAGAAAATAAGAAGGCGGGGGGTGGGGGGGCAAGGAAGGATAGGAGGGAGGAAAAGAGGGAGGGAAGAAAGGAGGGAAGAGCAAAAGAAAGAACATACACTTAACTTATAAATCTTCAAAGCCATGTTATTGTTCTACCATTCTACCACAATAAAAAAATAATATGCAGACCACTGAAAAAATATTCAAAAAAGAGTCAATGAATTATGTGTTTGGACTGGACACAATGAGTATCAGACATACCTAGGATGAAACATTGTCAGACCCCCTCAATAAGCACAGAACCAAAAGACTTTCTCACCTGAGGATTTGTTCCAGTTGGTCCACCATGTCATGAAGAGATGTGGTTACTTTTGTCTTTTGACTAAAGAATTAAAAGAATAAAACTTTTAAGTTTAGAAGTCGCTATTTAATAAAATACAAAACAACTGCATGGGGGAGAGTCTGTTTCTCTTACATATAACACATACACTGTCCCTGTAAAATTTTAAACTTATCTCCTACAAAACAATCAAAAAACCTACAAAGTGCTACAGTTTCCTTGAGGAACTGACAGCACAATGTGACTACCAGGCCTGTCTCTTGTCATACACAAACATATAATCAATTATGCCTGTTACACTAAATAAATCCAATAGTTTACGATTGAACAGATCAAGATTAAAATTGGTGGAATAAAAAAAAATTCTCTGGTAGAGATTACCCAGAAATGAGCAATTATATTTTCTGGTACTTTTGGTATAATTACACTTCAAGGAAAAAAAGAATTATGAATCAGTTGTTGACTTCAAGAAGTACACACTTGATCTTAGCCATAAAGTGAAGAAGTGATGAGGAAGAGATAAAGAGTAAAATCACAGGTGCCACTGTGGAAGAATCACTGCCTGGGTCGGCCATCTCATGGCTGATCTCTATCCCTGTGACCTCCCTAGGAGTTTCATTAGGATTCTATATACTCAGACATGTTCTTTAACATAACTTTCTCTCCTGCAAGGAAATCACATCAACTGCAGTAGTAAGGAACCAGGGACAAGTACACTTATCAAAAGATAGTCCTTAACAGGAAACAAATACAATGGCAAACCCTTCTGAGGGAAGCCAGTGGGTAAGGAATTTCAAGAATCATTAACACTAAAAGAAAGAAAGGAAAAAAAAAAGAGAAAACATGCAGATTACCAACAACTGTGTCTGTGGGGGCACAGTAAAGTTGACACAATACACATACATGAGCAAGTGGAGCCAGAGCTGGGCTGCTGCTAGAAACCCTCTCCACCTTGATGACTCTGGGTCCCAGCTATTCTCCACCCACAGCCACTGACCTGACCTTCAGAGCAATGCACCTACAGAATTCTAGATCTGGGTTTTATTAATGAGAAGTCTGAGAGAAAAGGTCCTGGACTTGGAAATCCTAAAGTGTCCCAAGTTGAACATGAAGCCTCATGACTTTTTCTTTACTATTTTCTTTATTATTTTTATTTGATGTGTACGCATGGATTGCCTGCATGTATGTAAGTGCACCCATGTCATGCAGTGCCCACAGAGGACAGAAGAGACTGTCGGAGCCCCTAGAACTGGAGTTACAGACAGCTGTTAGCTGCCATGTGGGTGCTGGGTCTTGAACCTGGGTCTTCTGCAAGAACAGCCAGTGTTCCTAATCGCTGAGCCATCTCTCCAGCCCCAAAGCCTCATGACTTAAAATGATCGCTCTTCCCTCACCAAAATCTAACTGATAATGATTGAGTGTAAGTTAGAAGGTTATTTCTTTTCTTTTTCTGAGGAAGGGTCTCACTATATAGTACTGGTTGGGCTGCAACTTCATATATAGACCAGGATATAGACCTCAAACTCACAGATACGTTCCTGCCTTTGTCTCCCAAATGCTGGGATTAAAGGCACGTGTAACCATGACCAAAGATTATACTATTGAGTTTTTTTTTTAATTTTTGATGAATTTTTATTTTATGTGTATGATGTTTTGTCTACATTTATGTAAGTGCACCTGTATCATACAATGCCTACAGAGGCCAAAAGTGGATGTTGGAGGCCCTGGAACTAGAGTTAGGGATAGGTGTTAGCTATCATGTGGATGTTGGGAACCAAACTGAACCTGGGTCCTCTGTAAGAGCAACCAGTGCTCTTAACCATTGAGCCATTTCTCTAGACCCTAAAACCAAGTTTTACGCTTCAAACTACACTGATAAATTGAAAACAGGCCATTTTAAATTCTTCAGAAGGTCATGCAGCTAAGCTAACTTCTACTAGCACACACACTCAACAGAAATATTTTTAAATTTTCATTTGGGAGTAACTGTCATGGATATTAAATAATACAATGCACTTCCTAGATGAATTGGAATTCACAAATATAATGTCAAGAGAAATTTTTAACCAGGGCAAATATGCTGCCTAGGTAAAATGTACAAAACTTTAATTGGATTGAATAAATGATTGCTCTTTTAAATGGAGGTTGGAAGTCACTGATTTATCAAGTTGACTAAGGACAAGACAAGAGGTATTAGGTCAACTGAGAAGCCAGCACGCTTCCCACCCAGGCCACTGAGGAAGAAGCTCTTTATCATGGCTGCTCCCTGGGCCAGATGTTAGTTAGCACTCTGATATGCTTTAGGCTATACACGTTTTGCTATACGACTCTGTTAGAACAATCCATTCCACCTGCCTTTTACCGCTCACTGAAGGCCATGGATATAAAGTACCCTGTACACTTGTATAGGTTTGGGGGAACCATCATATGTTGATTCTACTCTGTGAATTACCCTTCCCAGCAAAAGAAAAAAAAAAGGACAGAAAGAAAGCAGTATTATGTACGACTACAGCCACAAATATAGTGCTACAACCTCTTCTTGGTGGTCAGCATGTAGAATACTGATGGAGAGAAGGGAACAATCAAGGTCTGTAATGTAATAGAATCTACGATCCCATGCCCCAGAAAAAAAAAAAATCAAAACTGAAATAACACTAGTGATATAGCTGCAAACAGCATTACAATGTAAAAGCTCGGGTTTGTCATAAAAAGACAAGAGATCACAGAAGTACAGAATAGATTTAAAGGGATGTCTAATTAAATATGACAGATTGAACCTGCACACTTATCTCTATTCCTTTCCAAAACCACTTAGGTGAAATAAATAAAGACTGTGAGAGGAAGACATACACACAAGGAACAGGGAGAACCAAAAAGATGACAGTATATCAGAGAAGGAAACAAAACATGGAAGATGGGAATTAAATGGCAACAAACTTAACAAGGCAAAGAACTCTGCAGCACAGCTTACAGGCAACAGAGGACACCAATGTAAGTGTCACAAAAGCAAGAGATGGAAAAGGTCTAAAAGCCCCAGACACTTCCAAGAACTGAGTACTAAAAGCAAGAAGACTGCCTGAAGGCTTATAGGCTTATGATATGCCAAATTACACACATATACATGCACATGTACACACATGTGCAACACATGTGCAGCACACACATGTACACACAAATGCACACAGTCAACTCTCTCTCCTGGAAGAACATGGGGATTTCATGCTACTGATAGTTGATTTAGAGGGTCTGTACACTCAAAAAGTTACAAGTCACAGCTGGAAAAGATATTCAAGAGGTACCACTCTGAATCAAATAAGTGTCCAGGATATATGAGCCCCATTCCTTCTCTAGTGCTTATGTTCAGATTTATGGGTGCAAAAAGAAGAAAATCTTACACAAGTTTCTACAATGCAAGGTAAAACATACAGACCCCACCTATATAAATGTGCTTCCTTTACCATGTCATGGTAAGGGTTGCCTAGAAACAAAGACAAGGCTTCCATTTAGCATCTTGGTGCCTTAAATATAAATGAATGGTCAAGAATCACTCAACATATATGAGAGCACCTAGGAGTACAGATCCAGACACAAACAGAATATGCAAAATCAGAACTGGGAACTAAAACTAGGACTTTTGTTTTTAAATGAACAAGAAATAGCTCTTAGAATGTACATTAAAAAGCCAATATAATCATTAAAATTCAAGAGATGGATTAGAAGATAAACTGAAGAAATCTGAGACCAATTCATAAATGGTCAAAATGCGAGAATAAGTATAAAAGGGTAAGAAAATGAATATATAAACAAATAAGAACTTTAATTAAATTAAAAACCTGACAGACAAAACCTCTGAATAACAAGAGGTTGAGGCAGTGGGGGGGGGTGATAAATATACTCACTAAAAAATAGGGACATTTAGGAATATTTGGAGGGTATGAGTTTACACAGTGGAAAACACCAATGAGCAATACATTGAACTAAGACTCACAATAAAATATATCCTTAGAGTATTTCAGGACACTAAATTGGACTGAAAGATACTAAAATCTCCTACAGGGCAAAAGCCTTATACAAAGCACCACAATTCAGAATGATGTTAGATTTCTCAGTAATGTGAAAAGGAGAAAAACAAAGCCTTCAGGACTCATAGGGAAAGAACCAACCTAGAATTCCATGAGGAATCAGACTGCCCATCTTAGCATAAGGGTGCAGTTATGATGTCTTCCTGACGGTATTACTAAAGTTTTCTTAAAAATATCACCCATGCAATCTTTGATAGGTAGCTATTTGAGACTGTATTCTATCACAATGAGACACTAACTCAAAAAAGAATGTAAGGGAGTTGGAGCACTGGTTGCTCTTGCAGAGGACCCAGGTTGGGTTCCCAGCACCAGCAAGACAGCTAACATAACTCTAGTTCCAGGGGATCCAATGCTCTCTTCTGGCATCTGCGGGCATCGTATGACACAGGTACCCTTACATATATGCAAGCAAAACACTCATACACATAAAAGAAAAAATTTT